GCTGTTATTTCCAAAAAAATGCGAAAGGGTCCTCTTATTTTCATCATAACTTGCTTAATTTTAATGCTATCAACTTTTTCTAGAGCTCATTTTATAGGTATTTTTGAGTACTTTAAAAATTGTTAATAAGTATATTTTATAAAATGCATTGTTTTCCCGTTATTTAAGCTTGAATATTCAGATTTGAGTACTCGCCGAAAAAAAAAAAAATACATTTAATTACCTATAACTCACTTTGAGTTAATATTAAAAGGTTTTTCAAGCAAGAAATTTATTAATTTTTTATTAGCTTCAATTTTGGTAATAACAACTTTTTATAAAAACTTATAGTTTTTGAGTTATTTATGAAAAACCGCTTTAAAACATGCATTTTTTTCACGAAAAATCAAAATCTTTGATCTTTAATAACTCAAAAAGTATTGATTTATTTTAATAACTTTATAAATAAATTTTGTTTAGATTTGGTCCCTCTATCGATTCCTGGGGTTATTTTTAATAAAATAATTTCCACCTCCGAGAAGGTGTGGCATCCACCCCCAGGGTAAAAGCGCAAGTTGACACCATGTCACTTTTGTTTCTTAAGGTATCCTCTAACTACTTACCAATTTTCATGAAAATCGATGGAGGTTCAACGAAAATATAGAAACTGACTGTATTTGCAACAATATACAGAAATTGCGTACGAAACATTTACTCTTCAGCTTTAAAACGAATTTTGATTTTTGTCGATTTTATTTAAAATTGATGTAGCGCGCGTAACTGACATTCAAAATCACCGGTCGCTTCAAGTGTTGTTTCTTAGAAAATGGTTTATTCTATACAAAAAGTGCTAAAAAAATATCAATTTTAGTTGACTAGAACAGGAAATATTGCGACTTTTATAAATTTGAAATTATGAATTCACATTGTGAAGTAGTAAAATCCTTTCGCTTTTAAACTCTTTATCTTCAGCGCATCATACACATCTCATTGTTTAAGAAATCGTTGTTAATTTTTTCATGTAAACTTGAACTCTTAATCTTTCAAATGGTTCTTTTTCAATTGTTTAATCTTTTATAAACAAAGCCCCGGTATATTTAAAAAAAAGGCTAACTCAGGTTTTAAGAATTGTAAAACATTACGTTTTTTTTTAATTCGTGTGAAAATGCCAACAAGGTGAATACAGAAAATTAACTTTCTGCATATTATTGAGTTAATTTAATTGCTTATAAACTTAAAATAATTACAGTAATTTTGCATGCATAATAATTTGCAAAAAATCTACATTTGAAGCTCTTTGGCAATAATTAAGGAACAGATTAACATAAATAACTTTACATATCCTCACTTTAAAGGATTTTATATAATTTTTCCAGAAATTTATGTCTCTTTGTCATATAATTTTACTATATTCCATATAATAATATTACATTGTTTATATATTGTTTATAAGTAAAAAATTACGTTTAATCTTTTGCATATTTCCTTTATTACTTCATCCATATTATGCTACAATCAAAAGCACTTTCAACGAGTGCCATGGAAAAATCGTTAGTTCTCTGGTCTACTAGTACAGTGAATCATAGTTTTGTTTCTCATCGTTGAGCAGATTTCAGTCGAATAGCCAATCGTTACACAACGTGTTAACTATTAATAGTACATTGTTTACCGGGTAGGAAAAGCTTAACATTCCTGGACGACTGTGAAGATTGCTAAGTCGAGGCGCAAGCCGAGACTTAGCAACACAGAGTCCAGGAATGTGGCTTTTCCTACTAGGTAAACATACTATTTTTCCGCAAATCGTTTAAAATTCGACAGATATTGATTGATTTAAAAAAAAACGCGATAATTTTATTCCCAAATAAATGGTGCTTTGAAATTCCTAATAAAATTACTTGGGTTACTATGGAAACGTATTGAGGTTGAATTGTCAAATTTATGTAGAACACTAACAACTGTACGGAAATATCATTTCCTTACAGTAAGGAAATGACATTTCCTTACAGTAAGGAAGTCCTGACTTTTTCTTCAAGAAATTTTGACAGGAATGTCAAAATTTCCTGGCGATTTGCGGAAAAAGTTGTTTTCCATTCCGACTGAGAAACCACAGTCTTACAATTTTGGTCTAGTAGACTAGTAGGTCGGAATTGGATTTATTAAGAATTAACTCTCTAGAGTTCTCGAATGAAATACATCAAAAACGTAGTGCATATATCCGAAATAATCATATTGTAACTCTGGAATTCAGAAAAACGGAACACCTCAGGGGTCAGTTATGAGCCCAACTCTTTTTCTCGTGGCTATCAACGATATACTGGATCACTGCTCCCCGCTAGTTAAGGGAAGACTATATGCCGACGATCTGGTTCTATTTGCAAAGGGCAAGAATATGAGAATGATTCAAAAACACTTACAAGAATCTATTTATAAATTAGAGATATGGTCAATGTCAGTAGGCGTGCAATTCTCCCCACTAAAAACAAAATGCATGCTTTTCTCAAGAAGGCACCGGCCACAGAGAACATCTTTAAAACTGTATGGCGAGCCGCTCAAATTCTCAGAAAAAATTAATTTTCTCGGAATGGTATTTGACCAAAAACTAACATGGAAACAACATATTTTAGAAATAAAAAAGTCTTGCCAAAATGGATTAAATGTAATGAAAACATTATCAAATAAAAAATGGGGATCCGACGAAACCACGTTATTAAATATTTATAAGTCACTCGTTAGATCAAAAATAGATTATGGGGCTATTGTGTATGCCTCCGCTAAAAAACATGTTACCAAGCAACTTGAAGTCATTCAGAACACAGCACTTCGCATTGCCATAGGTGCATTTAGAACCACACCAGTTAAGAATCTCCAATGCCTCACAGGAGAGCCACCTCTTAATCTACGAAGAAATTATTTATGCCTTTCGTATGCAGCATCAGTCGCCAGCAACAAATTCCACCCAGTATTTCAAAATGCATTTACGGACCGTTACCTAGAAGCTTATAACAAAAGTAGGTTCGATCCACCATTCTACGAAAGAGTTCGAAGAAATTTAAAAGATCTACAACTCCAAATTTCTGACCTCTTTCCTTCAAATGTAAAAACTCCACCTCCCTGGTTAATCATGATTCCCGAAATCAATACGACGCTACTCCAATATAACAAATCAGATACATCACCCACTGTAATCCGACAGTCATGTTTAAAGGAACTCGAGACTTACGGGAAAAGCTTTTGCATTTATACAGATGCCTCCAAATCTGCAAATGACGTAGGAGCAGCATTTGTCACTCCATATTCCTCTTCCCAATTTAAATTAATGCCAGCCACTTCTATATACACAGCAGAATTATATGCAATATTACAAGCCCTCATTCATATCAAAACTACAAACCATTATTCTTCCGTCATTATCACAAATTCTCTAAACTCCTTAACTACAATCGGTCAACGATATACTAAGAACCCTATAGCCTTACTTGTCAAGAAAGAACTTGCTGCCTTACATGAATCTGGTTCAGAAGTCAAATTTATGTGGGTTCCATCTCACACGGGAATACAAGGTAATGAAAACGCAGACCTCCAAGCAAGAGAAGCTACCAAAAATGATCAAGCTATAATAGTGTCAAAGACTATCTGCAGTGATATAAAACAGTTCGTTAAAGAAAAAGTGATTAGTGCGTGGCAAAATAAGTGGAACTTATCGGAATCTAAATTAAAAGAAATTAAATCGACAGTGAAACCGTGGCGCCTAGTAAACTTAAAAAGAGCTGACCAAGTCAAAATTTCTCGACTTCGATTAGGTCATACCAATATTACTCATAAGCACCTAATAAGTAAAGAAGACATTCCAGTGTGTGATTACTGTCAAGTCAATATTACTGTTAAACATCTCCTAACAGAATGTGGAAAATATACAGTTAACAGACAAAATAACAATATTTCCAGTGACTTAAAAACAGTATTAGGTGAACATTTAAATACTAAAAACTTAATTAGATTTCTAAAAGAAACATCTTTATATAATTTAATATAATGTAGTAACTAATGTAAACTAATGTCGCTAATGACCCAGGTGGTTGAAGCGACTATTATTAGTAAATAAAAAAAAACTCTGGAATGAAAACACATAACTGTAAAAATGCTTCAAATATACAATCCCACAACAGAAAATCCAGACACAGAAGCTGAACAGTTATATGAACAAGAGCAGTAATATAAGTCGTGATACCTTTTGTCTTGGAAGAAAGGAATTATTGAGGAGATATGAGATATGTTAGTACAATTCTGATAGGAAGAAGAAATGGACGTTTTAATAAATAAACTATTGCAAAATAGCAATAAAAAAGTAGCTGCTTACAATGGAGCAGATATTGGCTCTGACCATATCCCACTAAATAGTAACTTTAGGTTAAAAGGTAAAAGTATTTCTAGAGCTACAAAAAACGTTTTATATATAATTAAAGCTTCAAAAAATAAAACAATTAGAGAAAAATTACAAAAGGAGCCAGAAAATAAACACTTAATATCAGCAAAAAAAATATAAAAAAGCATATAAGAACAATGGGAAAACATTAAAAATACTATACATAAAACTACAGAAAATGTTCTGGATTGCAAAATACAAGCAAAGAAAAGTTGGCATATAAAACTGCTAGAAAAAAACAATCACTGATTTATGTTGAAGAATATTTATGCCGGAAGTGGACTCAATATTTATGCAATCCTTGTAAAAATAAATAGGTACCCATTTTTAACACAGTCCATTCGCGATGTTAAAGTTGTTAGGGATCATCTTCATTTTTTGTACTACAAAACAGCATTTATTGGAACTTTTGGAGACTACAATAATATCACAGCCAAAGTCTAATATCCCCAAATTGCAAGAAAATCAATTCGCGTTACTTTAGCATGTGAACATAAAGTAAAATTTATGTTGAAATTATTAATTTTCAGTACAGAGATAAAAGGTAATGAATCTTTATTAGGTTATAAGTATCAGGATTTTTATTTTGTTTACTTACCCAAGAATATTTATGTCTTTGTTGCAAAATAAAATATATTCTTTAAGTCTTGTAATACATCCAAACTTGGTAAATTTATTATTTTTTATTTATTCTCTCACAGGTTAAGCACATTACAACCACAACCTATACACAGAGAGGTTTACCTTATCTCGTGCATCTTACAACTACTGATACGAACAAAATGAAAATAAAAGTGAAGACCGCGATGTCGATACCGATATTATAAGATTGGCAAATATGATGATACACACAAACATACATTTACAGACATAGTATTTCACATGATTACTCATACAAGCCGAAATTTTTTATCAAAGAGATATATGTAGATAAATATAGAATATACACATGATATCGGTTGTTTGGAAACAACGTATGGTTGGAACTGAATAATTATTATATCTTTATGGACGGTGTTTTGCAAGACAGTGATTTGTAATACCAATTTTTTTTATTTGAACAAAAATGACCCTGCATCAACTACTAAGAGTTATTAGCAGGGGGTTTAAACACAAATTACAAGTACTTAATTTCTTACAATGTTTAGGGTAAACTGGTCCATAGTGGGACGTTTTTTTTCCTTGATTAAGCGTTTGTAAATTATAGTAAGGGTACCTATGCATGGGTATGGATATTTTTTTTTGCTTAGACTATCGTCATACAGCCAGACACAAAAGAACTAAGACAGTCATCATTATAATTATTTACCTAAATGCCCTATCAAGATAGAAGATTACATCGATATTAGGAGAACAGGGACACACTCTTCTCGCCTAGGGACCTATCAAGGCATTGATTTATATAAGACATAACAACACTAGGTCACGGAGAGGAGGAAGTTATACAAATGGTTTAAAACAAAGGTAACAAGATTAACTAAATAATTTTTAGAGAATTATAATGATAATTTGCTGTCTTTTAAAAATTTTATTAAAGAGTTGTAAATATCTACAGAGCCAAGTGATAATAAATGTAGCATATTCCAAGGAGCTGCTATTTTATATTTTAATAAATCATTTATAAGTTTGGATGAGTAGACTCTGTTTTTAGAACAACCAAAAAATATATGATCTAAATCACTTTCCTCTCCACAATGCTCACATTTGTCATCATCCAAAACCTTTATTTTAAATAAGTGCTTTGGATAACATGCGTGTCCGAAACGTATTCTAATAATGGAAGTTATGTGCCTCCTGGAAGCTCTAAAAGACTTGTACCAAGGAAATTTGGGAATATCTGGCTGAATTATCGAGTATCTATTTTGGTTCACAAAAGAGTATTCCTTCCACTGGTAGCTCCACTCTCGAAGCAATGTTGACTTGCAAGAAACAATACTGTCAGAAAGCGTTACTTTATGTAAAATATCAGTATCGGTTAAAATGCTTTCTTTGGCTAATAAGTCGACATATTCATTATGTTCAAATCCTGCATGTGCTTTAATCCAGAGACAATGTACATTGATTCCTTTGGTTAAAAGAGTTTGAATAATATGTTTAATTCTATAAATGTATGGGCAGTCTTGTAAGTTTGGTGGTCCATATTTACCAATGGATTTTAACACTGCCAAGGAGTCCGACAAAATTATAATATGGGCGAAATCAACTTCAGCTACATATAATAAATATATCCGATGGTATAAAAAAAGCGCATTCCGGTTCCATCTGGAGATTTAGACGCATCTGTATATAGAGCTATTGCCTCTTTGTATTTGCTTGTTATAGATAGAACAATATTTTTATTTAAATATATATTTTCACTATAATTTGGTATAATAATATCTGTATGTAAAAAGAAAGAAGAGTAATTTTTGAATATGTAGTTCGTTCTATCTATATTTTTTAAAAGTGCTATACTTTGATTATACGCTTCGCAAAGTAAGGGAGATTGCTTTTTCTGCCAATATTTATTTGTCAGGTCATGGCAATTCAAAGTGACTATCTTTTCGTATAGAGATGAGTTCAGGAAGTATACTTTCATTAAATATTTTTTGGACAAAAACCTTCGTCTTATATTTAAAGGAGGTTCCAAGGCTTCCAGATATAAAGCTTGTACTGGAGTGGATCTCATGGCTCCTAAACATATTCGTAAGACTGAGTTCTGTAAAACGTTGATTTTGTTTAGTAGTACATTACTTGTTGATCCATATAAAACACTTCCGTAATCCAAAATAGATCGTATGTAAGCTTTATAAAATAATAAACTTACTTCAACATCCGATCCCCACCAAGTTTTATTAATGTGGTTCTTGTTCAGAAGTGTATGTCGGTCAAACCAGCCAGAAACTCTCAAAAAGAATAGCTTTGCACAGGAGTGATGTTGTGAGGAAGCCCACCAGCACAGCCTTTAGCCAACATATTAAGAATACTGGACACACTGCTAACTATGAAAATGTGCAAGTACTAAAGAGGGTTGACAACCAATTTAAGAGAAACTTCATAGAAATGTGCTACATCCATAACTGCAGCTCTCCTATGAACTGTAAGAAAGATGTTGAAAACTTAAGTTGTATTTATTCCTTTCTACTTCAACAGGACTTGACAAGAAGTAACAAACTGGAAAATGTGGGGAACTTATCATGACATGCATAGATTACCTACCTGTGCTTTAGAGGGGACTTCATTTCCTTGCTTATTATGTTGCCTAGGGCTCTTTCTTTTCGTATCCATGTGGTTGTGATGTGCAAAAGTGAAAATTATAACCTCGTTACATATGACACCCGGATGTTGACAGAAATATGTCATCAAAAAAGAAGATTAATTCTTCTTTTCTATTTGTAGTTTTTGTAGGTTGTAAATTTTAGACTTTTTGTTGTGTTTGTATTTGAAAAACTACCCTGTTGTTGTAATGTTTTTATTCAAAATTTTAAATGTATTTTTTAATATTTTTAACATGTTTGTGACAGTGTTTTTTACAACTAGGACCAACTGAACATTTTCAATGTAGGTTTTTAAATGTTGATTTCCACCACTGTACTATAATAGGTTTTCCATTTAGGTGCTGATGAAGGTGACAACATATCACCGAAAATTTCACATATAGAATAAAGTTCTACACCAAGCTGGCTTATACCATCTCTAGCTGATCCTTGTTTTGACGCTTTCCCGAAAGTTACCCTCCAAAGAATTGTATTCTTAGCGTCGTTATACACACTCTATATATATATATATATATATATATATATATATATATATATATATATATATATATATATATATATAATCGGTTTAAAACGTCCTCCGACGTCTTCCGATGCCCAATCTCCATGCATCTCTATCTTCCCAAAGATCTTCGTCTAAACCTCTCTCTCGGATCTCTCTGTCTATTCCTTCTCTCCAGCTCTTTCTGGGTCGGCCTCTTTTTCTCTTTCCATGTGGTGACCAATCTATAATCTGTTTGGGCAGACGATGTTCTGGCATTCTCTGCACATGTCCATACCACTTTAGTTGTTGTACTCTTATATCTTCGACAATCGTATGTGTGACTCCCATAACCTCTCGTATACGTTCGTTATTAATTCTTTCGAGTTTTGATTTTCCTGCGGCCCGTCTCCAGTAGTCCATCTCCGTGGCTTGTAGTGTTCTTTCAGTAGTTGCCTTTAACTGCCACACGTCACTTCCATACATTACTATGCTCTTTATAATAGTGTTGTATATTCGATGTTTATTTTTTTTGGATATATGTTGATCCCAGATAATACTATTTAGTTGAGATATGGCCCTTCTACCCTGAGTGTTTCGTTTTTTTATAGCCTGATCTGATTTGCCGTCGTCTGTGATTTCTACTCCTAAATAGGAATATTTATTGTTGTACTTAATGTGTTGTCCGTCGTTTAAAACTAGATTTTGTTCTTTACCACCGATGTTCATGTACATTGTTTTATCTATGTTGACTTCTAATCCCCATTTTTTGTATTCTTCGATTAATTTTCGAGTCATGTATTCTAGGTCGTCATATTCGTTAGCAATCACAATTTGATCATCAGCAAAACATAGAGTGTACAGGTTGTTATTGTTTAATTGTATACCCATGCCGCTGCATTTCCGCTTCCAGAGTTTTAATGCTTGTTCCAGATATATTTTGAAAAGTGTCGGCGCTAAGCAGCATCCCTGCTTCAGTCCTTTGTCTACTACAAAACCTTTGGAAACATTCGTTCCTATTTTAACTTTGGCGTTGGCGTTCTCATATAGTTTTTCCACTGCTGTTATGAGATTTGAGTTGATGTTCGTTTGTCTGAGAGTGTTCCATAACTTATTTTGAGGGATGCTATCGTAGGCCTTTTTTAGATCAACAAACAAAAAGTGGACTTCTTGATCTACAGCAACCTTTTTTTCTATAAGTTGGGTGATACAAAAAAGGTGGTCTATGGTCGATCTACCAGCTCTAAAACCCGCCTGTTCTTCTGCCTCCATATCAGTGTATTCTCTTTCTATTCTATTTTTGATCATTTTCCCATAGATTTTACTAATGGTACTAGTAACTGCTATTCCACGGTAATTGTCGCAATTTTGTTTGTTTCCCTTTTTATGTACAGTTGAAATGGTTGAGGTTTTAAATTCGGCTGGAACCTCTACTTTGTTTATGCAGTTTTGAAAGAGTATTGTCAAATGCTCATATAGTTTTTCAGTTCCATATTTTATCAGTTCTGAGGGTATATTGCCAGGTCCGGGCGCTTTTTTGTTTTTGAGTGAAATACAGATATCCCTTACTTCCTTTTTCGTGATTCTTATAGGAGATGCTTCAACGCGTATGTTTTGGTTACTTTCTTTTATTTTGAATTCCATTCGGTCTTCTTGTAACAGTTTACTGAAGTACATGTCCCATGTTTCTAACGAAATTGGTGAGATTAAATCTTTTTTCTTGTCGTTGGTCCTAAGAGATTTAATAAGTTTCCAGCTTTCTGTACTTCTAGTTCCTCCTATGTACGTATTTAATTTTTGACAGTTTTGATCCCAGGATTCATTTTTTTTCTGTCTTATCATTTGTCTCACCTTCTCACTTGTCTCACCTTGTGTAGATGTGTAGAAATGTTGTGTAGATCTGCTGTGTAAATGTTAAACAAAATAGGACTCAAAACGGAGCCCTGAGGTAATCCTTTGTTATTAAGTCTAGGTCCTAT